TTTTTTTTTTTTTTTTTTTTTTTTTTTTTTTTTTTTTTTTCAGAGGTTTTTGCTACAGGGTGCGTGTGCTTGCCAGACAGACAGAGAGAAACAGAGACAGAAAGCAAGAAATCACCCCCCGGGGGGGATGGCCACGCCACAATCCCTTCTCCTCCCTTCTCCTCTCAGGATCTTGGGCATGCACGCACACATGCCTGGCGTGAGTTAGAAAGGCATTTCTAAGGCTGGAGAAAGACATGCAGCTTCTAGCCTAAGACGTGGGTCCAGCACAGCCTCAGTCCCACTCTGGCCTCAGACCAGGCTGACGGCTGTGCATCAGAGCCAAGACCCACCAAAGGCATTCACCAGACCACGCTGCCTGCCGAAGTCCACCCTGAAAGCAAGCTTCTGTCAGCGGGGAAGGGGACTCGTGAGGAGATAGGAGCTCAAGCTGCTAGGCTGGGTCCAGGTCTCAGGAAATAACAGGTTGACCAATCAGCTGCTACTCAGGTCCCAGAAACCTTCACATTTCAGGAGAAGGAGACTGTGGCCTTCAGCCAGGTGGCTTCCCAGAACTCTCGCCTGCGGACTCAGCTGGACTCTGAACAGACAAGTGACTGCACAGATGCTGCAGATGCCAGAAGCCAGTTCCTCCAGAAAATACAGACAGCTTCAGGCCAGCCCAGCTCCAGGCTTAGTGCTGTGGAGGTAGAGGAGGAGACACAGTGCTTGTAGAGGGCCTGCTCACAGCTGAGGCTGCACATGACTGAGGAGTTCTCAGCAGCCCTGGCTGACTGGATGCAGGAGTACCACTGCCTAATCACCTCGCAGGAGTCTGCAGGCCCTTGATGCATGCTGTCTCCACTGGCTGCAGGAACTGTGTGCAGCCATGCAGCAACTGCTGTGGAGTCCATGTCCTGAGGAGAGGCCCCCTTGGGCCTCATTGCCCTGTGAAGGCAGAGTGAAACCCTCTTGGAGCCCCTGGCTGCTCCTCTATTCCAGAACCCTGGAGCTGGAGACCCTGGTGACCTGAGGGTGGCCATGCTGGGACAGCAGCTCCACCTGTAAAAGGTGCTGATGGCTGAACTTCTGCCTCTGGCCACCCTGGCTGGTGCTCTGCCGGGTCATGCACAACCTGCTCTGTGAAGAAGGCAAGTGTTTCCTCATGGTCCTGTGACTGAGTCTTCCTCGGCCACTGAGCCCCTGCTCCCAGGTGCAGAACTCTGGAGCCTTTCAGGCAGCGTGTTCCTCTCCCTAGTCAGTTAGATGAACCCTGGATTGGGGATTAGGGCCTAGAGATGCCTCTACCTCTCTGGGGATGCTGGGTTTCTGAGGTGAGGTGGGGCCAGGCTAACCCTGCTGGTCAGGCCTTTGGTCTTCCTGAAGCTCAAGGAGCCTGGAGGCCTGTGGGGAGGCTCTCCTGGCTCTGTCCATTTTCTCTGGCTTTAGAACTAGAAGCTGCTTAGGTCCGGAGTCCCAGCCGCTCAGGAGATAGACAGAGTCATGACACAGCTAGCCCTATTCTAAAATCACACACACACACGTACACATGAAAGAAAACACCAAAGTCTATCTCAAAAAATCATGCTTAAGCAAAGAAACCCAGGGGGCAAAACTATTAAAACTACTTTAGAAAATTTATATGCAAATCAAATTGGTGGAGGAAAGAGGATTAATTGGTGTTTTTTATTGTTTTGTGGTTTTATTTGTCAAGAATATATCAAGTGTATTTGTCTGGAAGAAAAAAAAAAGATGAAAGCTGTAAAAGGAGACAAAGAAAGCTACCATGTAGTACTAAAAGGTCTAATTCACTAAGAAGATAAAACACTTATAAATATACACCCAACATGGGAGCACCAAAATACATAAAAGAAAGACTGGTAGATATAAAGGGAGAGCTAGACTGTAATATATTACTTGTTGGGGGAATGGTCTCATGGGGCTGCAGGAATGAGGGGGCTGGTTTAAATGGGCAAAAAGTAGCTCTGAACCCACCCCCTAAGTGGGGTGGGTCTTGAGTGGAAGGTGACTGCTTCTCTCTGCTCCTTTTTCAGTATTACTGGGGAATGAGGAGCTGGTCTCAGGGGTACACAATCTCCTAATCACTACAAGGAGAAGGTTAAGCAGGAGAGCACAGTGATAAATGATGAATACTGAGTAACAACTATCTATGGTATTTCAACAGAAAGTCCTCAGAGCATGCTTCCAAGACAGTGGTGCTGACATTGATGGGTCAAGACTTTGTGCTCCATAAAACGTGAGAAAAAGCAATTCAGATCATCTGACCATGTCACTGCTCCAGAAACATGGTATCAGCAACATCTGAGAGATATTTTATTTGAAAAAAAAAAGTGCTTAAGGATTCCCATTTAGAGGGGACTGTTTTGAAAATTTCTATTTTTTTTGTTTTGCATTTTGTTTCTAAATTTAATTTTTTTGTATTGCACATTTCTAATTGCATACATTGAAGGAGATTATTTCAATGGGGACATCTGTGGGGGTGAAGTGCCTGGTATGGCATAAAAGGGTTTGGATTTTCTGTAGTTTGAAGGCAAAGTAATCATTACTGTATTTTAGGATCCCAAGAGGGGCTTATAGAATTGACAGATTCAGATAATTAACATTTGAAATTTTAAGATAACTCAATTTATTACTATACCTCTCAGGAATAAGATTGGCTATTCTCTTCTGTACCAGTGAAGTCCCTGTCTAGAAGGAAGATTTGTGTTGATAGCTAGCTTAGGCAAGCATATAGCATACAGGAATTCCCGATGTTGGGCAGAAATCCAGTTGCCGCAATTGAAAGAGAACCCAATAATGAGACTGTTGTTGAAGATGCTAATATGGATTGGGTTCTTTATAGTATATTTCCTAAAACTATGTTTGTGGTTTTCTAAAAATGGGGATGGGAGTAAAAACAGTAAAATGAACATTTTATTTTAAGAATTGTCTATATTGATAGAGCTTTTTAAAGTAAATGGTATAATGTACCAACAAATTCAGAATTGAGAGTAGTATGTTTTGACTCAAACTATACCATGTATCAAGGATAATATGGTGAACATGAACCAACCAGAAAAATTATTTTTATTATACTAGTAATATACTAAAAAGTTTTTAGCTACTATTCCTTTTTTCATCTTTGATGTAAATATGGTTATTAGAGGTAAATATTCCAACCACTGACTTAGCTCACGTAACACCTTTGGGAAGAAGAACCAGGATAAAGCATAACTTTATATGATGTATAGGAGATGAGGTGAGTTGAAGTAGGGTGATAGCAC